ATGTTCATCAAAGATATTGGCCTGTAGTTCTCTTTCTTTGTTGGATCTTTACCTGGCTTGGGTATCAATGTGATGTTGGCTTCGTAAAATTTTTTGGGGAGAGTTCCATCTTTTTCAATCTCCTGGAATACCTTCAGTAGGATTGGTATCCTTGAATGTCTTGTAGAATTCTGCTGGACAGCCATCTGGACCAGGGCTTTTTTTTTTAGGAAGTTTTCTTTTTCTTTTTGTCTTCTATGTCCTAGATTTGGACTTTTATTTTGGCGATCTAGAATCTTCTGCTGAAATTAGGGTTTTTGTGGTCTTGCTTTCCCAGCTTCTTTAGGTGGCTTGTCAGGTTGTGAATTTCTGTTCCTTCCATTTCCTTCATGTGTGTTTGTAGGGATATAAATTCCCCTCTTAATACAACTTTCAGGGCATCCCAGAGATTCTGGTAAGATGTTTCTTCATTTTCATTTCTTTCCAGTTATCTTTTGATCCCTGTTTTGATTTTTTGTTGACCCAGGATTTGTTCAGCATCATGCTGTTTAGTGTCCATGTTTTTGTGGGTTTTGGGGGGACTTTGTTGTTGTCAATGCTTATTTTTATTCCCTGTGGTCCGAGAAGGTGTTTGGTAGAATTTCGGTCCTTTTAAATTTGCTTATGCTTGATTTATGGCCGAGTATGTGGTCGATCTTAGAATATGTTCCATGTGGTGATGAGTAGAATGTGTATTCTGTAGTCTTTGGATGGAGTGTTCTGTAGGTATCAATTAAGTCCATTTGGTCCAAAGTCACATTGAGCTTCCGGATCTCCTTGCTGATTTTTTTGTCCTGATGATCTGTCTAAGGTTGTGAGTGGGGTATTAAAGTCCCCAGTTATGATAGTGGTAGAGTCAATATCTTTCTTTAGTTTTCCAAGAAGTTGCTTTATGAAAGTTGGCACACCTATGTTGGGTGCATATATGTTTAGGATAGATATTTCTTGTTGATGGATTGAGCCTTTTATCATTATGTCGTGGCATTGTGTACCTTCTTTGCTTTTTAATAGCTTGAAGGGTATTTTGTCTGAAATTAAGATTGCTACTCCTCCTTCCTTTTGTATTCCGTTCGCCTGAAAGTTTGTTTCCCATTCTCTTACTTTGAGTCTGTGTGTGTCCTTTCTAGTGAGGTGAGTCTCTTGAAGGCAGTAGATTGCTGCCTGATGATATTTTATCCATTTTGCCATTCTATGTCTTTTCAGTGGTGCATTTAGTGTGTTTACATATAGGCTAATAATTGAAATGCAAGAGTTGATCCCTGTCATAAGGTTCTTACAGAGGTGATTCTGTTTATTTGTTGTCTTTTTTTGGGTTTTGGAGTTGGTTCATGTGTGTGTTTAATATTTTGCTTGTAATGTTGTGAAGAATGCTGTTGTTCTTTTTTCTTTTTCTTCTGTGTCCAGTACTTTCTTAAGTGTTTCTTGTAGAGGTGGTCTGGTGGTAGCGTTGGTTCTTAGGGATTGGATGTCTGGAAAATATTTCAATTCTCCCTCACTAATGAAGCTTAGTTTGGCTTGGTAGGTTATTCTTGGTGGAAATTGTTTCTCTTTTAGAACTTTGAAGATAGGGCTCCAGGCTCTCCTGGCCTGATGCATTTCTATGGATAAATCTGCTACTATTCTAATTGGTTTTCCCTGGTAGGTAGTCTGGCCTTTTTCTCTTGCTGCCTTTAGGATTTTTCCTTTCATAGCTACTTTGTTTAAGCGAATTATTATGTGTCTGTGAGTTGGTCTTCTGGTTTGTTGTCTTGCAGGGTTTCTCTGAATGTCTTGTGTTCGAATTTTTTCAACCTTAATAAGATGAGGGAAGTTTTGTTGAATGATTTCATGAAATGTTTGTTCCAACGTGGCTTCTGTTTCTCTTTCTGCCTCAGGATGCCCAATTATTCTTAGGTTTGGTCTCTTGAAGTGATTATTCATCTCTTGCAGGTTTTGTTCTGTCTTTTTGAGCTTCTTTTCTCTGCTTTGACAGTTTGGGTTAGTTCTGTGTTTTGGCCTTAGAGCTCTTGTATTCTTTCTTCGGCTTGGCTGATTCTGCTTTCCATGCTTATTAGTCTGTTATTGATTTCCATCACAGTATTCTTTACAGCTGTCATTTCTGACATCAGCTCCTTCCTATTTTCTTCTTGTCTCTCCTCAATTTTTAAAATTCTCTCCATTAATGTCTTGATGTCTGGGTTTGTTGCATGTAACCAGTCATTCTGGGGACTCTTCATTGTCTGTGTTCCAGAATCTGTTTTCTCAGTGTCTGATTTCCCAGGGGTCTGTGTAGGACCTATATTCTTCTTTTGGTTTTTCTTCATTTGTGCGATTTTTTCCCCCTCTCTACTTTTTCCTTCCCTCCACGTCACCGTCTTCTTTAATTCTGTTGTTCAGGGGTAAAGGGATTGGTTTTACTTCTGTTTGTTCAATCTCCTATTCTTTATGTATGTCCTCTTACTTTGTTCAATTCTGAAGTTGCACTGTAGGTTGGAGGTGGTCCTTTTTGCAGTTTTGAGATGTATTTAAGGGGAGAGCTGTGATTCAAAATCTGTCTGCAGGTCCTGGTATTCGCTGACAGGCGTGTGGATAATGTGGAACCCACTTCCCACTGCCCTGGAATCTGTCCGTGCAGTGGGGCTGTAGGTTTACTCCCTGAAATAAAATGTGGTTAGCAGAGGGGAGAGAATGGAGCAGATAGTGGGTTGAAGAGGGGAGTGGAGAGATAGAGGAGTAAGGGGGGAAACAAATGAGTGTGCCAGCAAATAGAGAGAGAGGCCTATACTGAAACAGATAAAAACAATAGACCACAGCTACAGTCAAACCAACTGTCATACAAACAAAAATAGAACATATATTGATGCTAATATACAAGATAACCAACCACCTTGCTAGTGTGCTGTTCCTCTATACAAAGATATGGTTTACAGAGAGAAGAAAAGAGAAGAAAAGAAAAAGGAAAAAAGAAAAAAGGGAACAATACATAGGAATAGAATTAAGTCATTAAACTGATAGAATCAATGAAGCACACTCTGAGACCTTTCGTTTAAGTCCAATGTCCTTTCAGGTCTGATTTCTAGTTTTCTTTTCAAGCTGGTAAATTAGTTTGCAGTTAGAGTCAATTGCCCCTGATCTGCTGTGAAGGACAGTCCAGATTAACCTTCCTTCAGCAGTTTGTTCAATGTCTTTATCAAGCTTGTTTCTCCCATTTCGGTGTTGTTACCTTGAATCGCCAGCAGGTGGTGCTATCTCATCTGCTCACCACAGAGGGGGTGGGCCAGACAGGAACAAGATCGCTGCCTGCCTCCGAGCAGGCAACAGGAGCCCCACGCTGGGCCAGCAGGACAGTCTTGGATGCAGGATAGGTGGCAGCGATCCCAGCAGATCTTCCCTGAAGCGTTTCATTGTGGATCTCCTTGGGCCATGTGGTGCGAAATGCTACCCCTCCCAGAGGCCATGGCGGCAGTGGCGCCGGCGATGGCAGGGGCAGTAGCGGTGGGGGGGAGGGGCAGCGGCGGCGGCGGGACCATTTGGAATGCAGTCAAAACTGTCCAGTTGTTCCGATGGCAGCGGCCGAACTCTGTCTGTAGAGCAGGCTGTGATGCTGGGGTCCCCAGCCCACCAGGGCGAGAGTCAGAGACCCACTGCAGATCTCCCTTGCAGAGGGCTTCAGACGCCTGGTTGCCCTGTCGCCATCTTTCCGCATCCCCCTTGAAACTGTTTATCTTTTTGGACTTTGAAGATAGGGCTCCAAGTTCTCCTAGTCTGCAGGTTTTCTGCAGACAAATCTGCTGCTATTCTGATTGGTCTTCTATGGTAGGTGATCTGGCCTTTTTCTCTTGCTGCCTTTAGTATTTTTTCTTTTGTGCCTACTTTATTTAGGCGAATTATTATGTGTCTAGGAGTTGGTCTTCTCATTTGTTGTCTTATGGGGGTTCTCTGAATCTCTTGTGTTTGAATTTTTGCATCACTGATTAGATAAGCGAAGTTTTCTTGAATGATCTCATGGAAAGTTTGTTCCAATGTGGTCTCTGTTTCTCTTTCTGCCTCAGGGAGTCCGATTATTCTTAGGTTAGGCCTCTTGAGGTAGTCACTCGTCTCTTGAAGGTTTTGTTATGTCTTTTTTAGCTTATTTTCTGTGTTTTTAAGAGTTTTTGTTATTTCTATATTTTGGTCCTCAAGCTCTGAGATTCTTTCTTCTGCTTGGGTAATTCTGCTTTCCATGCTTATCAATTTGTTATTTATTTCATTCACAGTATTCTTTACTACTGTTATCTCAGATATCAGCTCCTTCCTAGTTTCTTCTTGTGTCTCCTCAATTCTTTTTAATCTCTCCATTATTGTTTTGATATCTACATTTGCAGTTTGAGACCCTTCATTCTGGGGGCTTTTCACTGTTTGCATTCCAAAGTCAGTTTTCTCAGTGTCTACTCTCCCAGGCATCTGGGAGAGACCCATACTCTTCTTTTGGTTTTTCTTCATTTCTGTAGATTTTTCTTCCTCTCCTCCTTTCCCTCCCCCTCTTCAATTCTGTTTTTGAGGAAAGGTGCGGTTGCTTTTATTTCTCTTCTGCAATGACCTGTTCTTCCTTATGAGGGTCTTCTGGCTTTGTTCACTTTTCCCTCTGCTTTACAGTCTGTCTATTCAGCAGTATGCAGCCTTGGTCCATTCAGAGAATCTCACCAGTTCACCTATGCTGTTGCCATCTTGCCTCTCTCAGAAATTAAGTAGGAGATTTCCTTGTCTAGCATGTCCCTCTTCTCCTTCAGTTTCTGAATGTCAAGGTGCAGAGACTTCTTGTTGGTTCCATCAGCATGGCCAGACTTGAGAGATGGCTGAGGGGATCGGAAGGCCCAGCAGCGTCGGTTCGGTCTGGTTCCGTCCTGGAGAGGAATTCTAGGGGAGAGACTGATTGCACCGACAGTTCACTCCCAGAGGAACGGTGTACCGGGCTGGGGCGAGGGAGCAGAAGCAGCCAGCATTTATTTTTTAAAATTAAGAAATATGAATAACACAGTTATAAATTAGGATGACTATCAAAGTAGTTATAAATGAAGGATGTTTTCTGTGTGAAAGTACTACTAGTGTGATTCTCAATTGCCTTCTGACTCCATTGCATTTGTTCCTCACTTCTGAATTGGGAACAAGCTTGTATTTACATATGTCAGATTTTATTTGCATCCTCCGAGGAGAGGTAGCATTCTTTCACTGTAAAGTCTCACCTGGTTTCCAAACCTGTCAATCTAAAGATAATATGGCACAACCAATGACGCCTGTAACACAATGCATTTCTGAGTCTTCCTCCTGGGGCTTCAGGCTGTGTATTATGAACATACTTTCAGGTGGTTCTTCTCAGACATTGTCATTTATGTTACACCCAGGATAGACATTTTAAATTGTGTTTTGTTTAAATTATATGAGAGAAAGTGCTCATAATGCACAATGGTCAAGGATTTGTTGTCTATAATCTCATCAGTGATGGAAAATTATAGGAAAGATGTAAAAAAGATGTCAGCAATGGTTAAATCTAACAGTGATAGGATACAGACAGGCACAGAGTTTTAAACTAAAAGTACCGGTGATAGGATGATCACTAAGGAAAACTACCTCTCAGGGTTGAAATCACCTGCTCTTCAGAATGTTGTTTTTGTTTTTGTTTTTGTTTTCCCAAGTGGATTTGTACTTCCAAAATGATCACTGTAATTTTTAAAGCCCCTTACTTCATTTCGTCATCTACCCTTCTCGGAGAGCTTCCTTCTTGAAGAAGAATAACTAACCAGGGATGCAGTCCCTGAAGAAACCACATTAGTGAAGCACTCTTTGTGCCTGGGGAAAGCACATGGAGATGACCTGACATGAAACCAAACAAGAGCAGTGACAGCTGAACTTTGATGCTGTCATCTTTTTAACTGAAGTCACTCCCAGGTGTAAATAGCATGGATGACGGAATCATTAGGGTTGCTTTTATTTTAAGTAGGATTTTTAAATATATAAAGAAATTATTGCAGAAAAGTTAGTATTATAATTAGGCAATAGAGAATTATCTTTTAATGCATAAGAAAGAGGCCAGGCATGGTGGCTTACTACTGTAATCCCATCATTTTGGGAGGTCAAGGTAGGAGGATTGCTTGAGCCCAGGAGATTGAGACAGCCTGGGCCACATAGTGAGATCTCAATGCTGCAGCGACAACAAAAAAAAAATAGCTGGGCATCGTGGCGCGTTCCTATGATTCCAGCTACTCAGGAAGCTGAGGCAGAAGGATCATCTGAGCCCAGGAGGTCAAGGCTGAAGTGAGCTGTGATCATACCACTGCCCTCCAGCCTGGGCAACAGAGTGAGACCCTGATAAGGAGAAGAAGGAGGAGGAGGAAGAAGAGGAGGAGGAGGAAGGGAAGGGAAGGGGAGGGAGAGCAGGAGGAGGAAGAAGAAGAAACAGCTGCAGCCGTCAGACATCTCGCTGCCCAATCAACACTCATTTTCAACACCCATCACAATGTGAGGTTTTATCATTGCATTTTAATGAGATATATACCTAGGAGCTTTTAGTGTTTCTCTCATTGAAAAAGACTCTCCTATAAGAGGAAAGTACCCAGGCATAGTTTTACTTTGCGCTCAATAACTCAGTGAGGGTAAGTGGGGCTGGGGGTCAGGGATGAAGGTCTGAGAAGGAGAGTAAGGTTCACCCTGATGAAATGGAAGGATGTCCCAGCTGGCACTGTTGATCTAAGATGTGGTCTCTCCCTGATAAATGGGTATAGCACCAGAGCACTAAAGACCAGCACTAGAAATTATCACCTTTTATAAAATTATTGCCTGAGTAATTTTGCTTTTCAATATCTCTTGTTTTGAATTAGATTATTTTTCCCTACTGAGAACTTTAAGAAAAAAGTGTTTGTTCAATTTTTTTCTGATAATAATAAAAAACAATAACAATATCTGAGTAAAAAAAATTAAGTAAATAATGGGAATTGCATGGTGAACTCACCTATGGCTATAGAATCAATATTTTCTAACTGTACAATTTGTAACTTGAGGCTCCTACAGTGCAATACAATAGTTGAGGGACAGGCAACTTTCTGTGAGGTTGTCTACCCTGCATAAAGCCAGATGATCTTTGGACCAGGGGAGAATTAAAGTTTCAAAGATAGATTTAAGTATTTCAGGTCACTTATTTACCTACTAGTGCCTAAGGCAGAAAATTCCCAATTCCCTTCAAGATGAATCTTTTGAGAGCACTTGTTTAATCAAGTGCTATACTCTGAGCATTTTTTTCTTGAATAGTGGCAATTCTTCCTTCTATCTGATGACTTTGGTCTTTCATTATTCCACCTGAACTGGACTTGCTGAAACCACCAATTATTTTTCAATGTTGCCAAACCAGTGGATTTTTACTTATCTTCCATTTACTTCTTAGCATAATTTCCAACTGCTCGCACCTTTTCAGTCTTGAGACATCCTCCTATCTGGACTCCCCTACACTGCCCATGGCCAATCTGCTTGCTCTTCAACCTCTTTGCAGTTCTGTCTGTCGGCTCTTGATCTCAGGTTGTACAGGCCTCTCCAGACTCTGCTGTGGGTTGACCTATCTGCTGCTTTCTGCTACTGGAATCAATCATCTACTCCTACATGGTTTTCCTGCTATATGCCTGTCCCCATGCAGATTTTGGGACTAGAACAATGAGCAAGACAAAAACTCTCTGCCACTATGGGGGCTTATTTTGTAGTTGAAAGAGTCCTGGATAAACTAATGAAATGATTTCTGATAGTGTTAAGGTCTATCAAGAAAATAAAATAGAGCAGTTAGACAGAGAAGGAGAGGAAGGGATGTTACTAGTTAGTCAGGGTGTGCAGAGAGGGCCATGCCAAAGGTGATGATTCAAGTTGATATCTATATACTGAGAAGACAGCAAGTAGGAGACATGGCTGGACATTATTTCAGGAGGACAGAATGGCATGTGCAAAGAAGCATGCTTAGATTCATCAAGAGTGGGACCGAGTGTTAGGACCCCATTCTAGACCACATCAGTGATCTCATTTTTTTTGTTGTTTGCTTATGTGTTTGAGTGGGAGTCTCACTCTGTCACCCAGGCTGGAGTGTAGGCCACTGCAGCTTCAACTCATTGGGTTCAGGTGATCCTTCTGCCTCAGCCTCCTGAATGACTGGGATTACAGGAGCTCACCACCAACCCCTGCTAATTATTTATTTATTTATTATAGAGTTGAGGTCTCACCAAGTTGCCCAGGCTGGTCTCAAACTCCTGGGCTCAGGCAATCCTCTCACCTTTGCCTCTCGAGTGCTGGGGATACAGGCATGAGCCACTGTGCTCAGACTTCCCATGGTTTTAAATCATCCCTGAATGACAATGAGTCCCAAGTTTCCATAATGATCACTTCAAGACACACACAACCCACAGACTAATTGAGGTTTCCCCTCTGTTGACTATTGACATCTGGATTTCAACAGATCAGAAACGGGACCCTGTTCTTGCCAACCTTAATCTGTTTCTCTGTTGTATTTTCTACCACGGTGAAGGGTATCTCCCTTTACTCATTTGCTTCAGGCAGATAACTCCATTTCTCTCATTCCTTGTGACCAAACCAGTCACAACATTTTTGGCATTTTATATCAAACACAGTGAAATTCTGTCAGTTGCTCTCCATCCCCAAGTCAGCATACCAGTTCCAAACACCGCCATTTTTGCCTGAACTGTTTTAGTTGTCTCCCTTCTGCCTTCTTCTGCTCGACCTTCTCCAAATTGGATCTCTAGGAATAGCTAGAGTGAAGTATTTCACGTGTAACTTGGACTTGCTCATCTAAGCATCTTTGATTCCTGTTTCCTCTCAAGCTTCAACAGTATGAGCCATTTGTTTGTTTGTTTGTTTGGTTGGTTGGTTGGTTGGCTCTTTGAATGCTCTAATCTCTTCCTTCCTGAGGTGTTTGCTGTTTACTTGACAAGAGGGTTATTAAGTTCACACTCACTTAGTGAACTCTGGCTCATCCTTTCTGTTTCAACTTAACTGTCATTTTCCTTCACAGACCAGCCTTGACCCCATCTAAAATCTGATGTTCCCTCCGCTCTAGCCATTACTCTCTCGAATAGCATTTTGTTCTTTCCTTCACAGCACCTCTTCCAGTTTGCACCAGTGACTGTCTCTGAGGTTATATTTCTTTGTAGTTTCTCCATGAGATCATCTTGTTAAGCACTGGGAAAACTGACACCTCCCAGGAGCTGACACCGTCTTTGTGTACGAGGCATTCAATCAATATTTTGTTAAGTAGGTGTTGGATAACTAAATGAAATTGGCCACAATTAACTATCTATTTCCATTTTCAAGTGCTATTTCCATGGTGATTTTGATTTTTCTAACATAGAAAAGTAATCATTTGAATTGTTTGCTTCTTACAAATGAAAATATGTGATCTGTTAAAAATTTGTTATTCTTTGTCTTTTAACTATAACACAGTAACATTAGGAGAGAAATAAACACAAATATTGTAAAAACAAAATGTTAAATCGACTTACTTCTAAGTTAAAAGGCATGAGTTTTTAATACAACTAGTTTTATGTGAGTTATGGTACAGTAAACCTTGTGTTTCTGAGTGACAATTTCAAATTCATATCTCTTAGTCTTTGCTTATACTATGCAAGCAATCCATTTTAAAATGAAGTGTGCAAGTGGCTTTTAGGATAATATTGTTTTACCTGTATTCTTTCTGTGTCTATCACGTGCTATTGTCTACCTCAATGATCTTTTATACAATAAACCTGTGTGTTATACCATCCCTTGATGACATTTCCCTGAGGTTAAGAATCATAGAGACAGACTTATAGTATATTAGAGTTGAAAGAAAATACTGAAATAATTTAGCCTATGCTGTTTGCCAGAGAAAACGGAGAGGACAGATATTTGTAGTAACTTCTCTTTATTGAACAACATCAGGT